AGAGGTAAATTTGTAAATTCTATCAACCTTTCAACCAAAGATTCCCTTAAAATGGGCCTATTTTCATCTTTCAAATAATGGCTCAAACCATAATAATTTTTTATTTTAAAGGGAGATACTTTCTTGTGCTTTTCAGCAATGTTATACATGTAAGTTATGGAAACATCATTCGGATAACAAGTTAATTCACAACCGGTAATAATCTTGTCAACAAACTTATCATACGTAACATATTTGCGCACCTTTATTAGAACCGTCTCTTTACTTTTCGAACGCCATTAAATGAGTAGAGCACTCCATCCATTTATCGTGACAATCAACTCCCAATACCATATAATCAATCATTTTATGATTGCAACACTTGAAGATATCAAATATATATAAATAATTGGTTTAAAGAATCAAATTTTTTGCAAACATCCTAATGACATTCACCGTGACAATCAACTCCTAATACTATATAATCAACAATTTTATGATTGCAATACCTGAAGATATCACAAATAAATAAATAATTGGTTTAAAGAATCAAATTTTTTGCAAACATACTATATACTTAGGATGTTTGAAAAATCCTAAGAGGATCTTTGAAAGATCTTGAATGGACTTTCAGGATGTTTAAAAAATTGCAGAAAATTTGCAATATCTGTCGCGACCCAAGTTCCCTATTAGGCCGTGATGGCGCCCAACACAGTTGTTAGGCAAGTCAATACTAATCAAATAGTAAATCCTCATTTATGTAGTTGGTATGTGATAACTTCCATTATAGATTTAAGAGTTTAAGCGTATTCAAATGAAAGAAATAAATGCAAATCTCAGTAATGAAGACAAGCCAAAACATCATAATTCTACTAATGTGTGTGCCAAGACCTGGTATCACAAGTGTGTGGGCAATCTAGTAGAATATACAAAATTGTACTATCCTACTATCTGGAAAAGAAATAGACAGGAATAAAAGATAAAAGAGAGACTCCAGCTACTGCAGATCGGCTGGAAAGGGCAGCTCACAGGAAAGTCTCGAGCTGAAATGTCCACTCTATGCGCCGAACTGATGGCTAGATGCACCAGCCTCAAAGCCTATACAATCAAGTACTGAAGCGTAGTATGAGTACATAATAAAAAGTACCCAGTAAGTATCTCGCCTAACCTCGCAGAAGTAGTGACGAGTGGTCGACTCCGACACTTACTAGGCCAGCAAATATAATAATATGAAGTTCAATATATTTAATTCACAGTGTATGTAGATAACAATAAGCTCAAACAAGAATAATTATTAAAAATCCTTTCATCCAATTAATAAAACTAAGCACTTTCCTCATTTAAATTAGTGACCTTTCCAGCAATAAGTCATACGAATTATAAGGGTTCCGGTTCTATTTTCACACACAAATATCTCCGAGGGCGATCGGCCTGATCCAACATAAAAGTAATGTGCACTGCCAAGGGTCGAACGTCACAAACCATGATGCATCTATTCACCCCGCTCGCGAATCATACATGTGACGCGGTAAAAGCATAACCCCGCTCGCGAATCATATATGCGACACAGTAAACATAATTTTTCATCATTTAAAACACAACACTTCTTTAATTCCTTTTTATAAAAATAAATACAATTCACTTGAAGCCTGTAAATCTTTAGATTTCCTTCAAATTACTTCCTTTCATACCATTAGCATATATAAGTAATTAATAGCGGCCACAAAGTATGATGTGATCCTAGAACTACCCGGACATAACGTGAATAGTAGCTACGTACGGACTCTCGTCACCTCGTGCGTATGTAGCCCCCATAATTAATCATATATTAATTAAGTTTACCTATGGGGACATCCCCCCTCGTTTCGAGCCTACTTCCAACTCAAGAATACGTCCAAACTCTCAATCCGGAGCTGTACAATCCGAAACTATTCAAATAGTGTAAAGGTCCATCATTATAGGTTTACAAATTCATATTCTAGCTATTAAAGCGATTATCCAATCCCAAGGGCAAGGTTCCTAAAATTCAACGCCGGGTCCACGTACCCGAATTTCGAAAATTTTCGGAGGAAGTTGTTACCCATAACCTAAGGATCAAGAATATATGATCTTTACTTTATTTCATAATGAATTTCATGGTTAAATCTTGTTTTTATCAAAACCCTTGGTTTTACTCTAATTCCATGATTTTCACTAATCTTTACATGTTAATCTACCGAAAATCCAAGTATTTAACTCACATATAGTAGGAATTACTTACCTCTAAGAGCTTGGTAAAAATCCTCTCTCAAGAGCTCCAAAATCGCCCAACCTGTGACTGGAAATGAGCCAAAAATGGCTAACACCCGCAATAAATGAAGGTCACTGCCTTCAGAGATTTCCGCATCTGCGGTCCTGGGCCGCACCTGTGCCCACCGCATCTGCGGAAAAGAAGCTGCTTCTGCGAAAATTCCACTGGCCGGCTGGGTCGCTTCTGCGGGAAGCAAACCGCTTCTGCGAAAGGTAGGCCGCTTCTGCGGCTCCTGGGCTGGCCACCCTTGGCCGCATCTGCGATTTATCGATCGCTTCTGCGGTCTCACATCTGCGGCTGGCCAACCGCAAGTACGGTTATGACAGCTTCCAAAATTTCCTTACTCAACTCGAGCCTTGTCCGATTGACGCTCGGGGCCCCCGGGGCTCCGCCCGAACATACCGACAAGTTTGAAATCATAAAACGAACTCGTTCGAACCCTCGAAATGCCAGAAACAACGCTAAATCTAAGAATCACCCCCCTAAAACCAATTGAATCAAACTTATGAACTTCAAGTTCTTCATTTCACATCCAACGTAACGGAACACACTTATACTACTTAGATTTGCACCAAATTTTGCGTGCAAGTCTTAAATGACAATACAAAACTATTTCTGGTCTCGGAATTCCGTTCAGACCTCGATAACACAAAAATCCGCTCCAAACCAAATATTTAAGAACTTTAAAATCCTTAAGAAATCGACTTTCACTATTAGCGCCAAAACGCTCCCGAATCATCTAAAACCCGATCTGGACATACGCCCAAGTCCGAAATCATCATACGAACCTGTTGGAACCTTCAAATCCGGATTCCGAGGTCGTTTACTCAAAATGTTGACCGAAGTCAAACTTGGCCTTTTAAGCCAACCTTAAGGAACCAAGTGTTCCGATTTCAATCCAAACTCTTCCAAATCCCGAACCAACCATCCCGCAAGTCATAAATCAGTTAAAACAAGTACGGAAAGTCTTATTCAGGGGAATGAGATTCTAGAAAGTAAAACGACAGGTCGGATCGTTACAATATCTAAAGATGAAAAAATAAGCTTAAACAATTCTTTATTTACGATCATAACTGCATTTAGTAGAAAATATTATATTTGTATGTTTATTTTATTTTGCTCAAACACTTGTATAAAGCCACTATATAGATATCTTTTTAATCAATAAAACAAAAAAATAAATTCCCTAATCTTTACATGATATTAAAAATAAAAAATACATCTTCAATTAATTTTGTTGATTCTGACAGCAGTGGATGATGCGGTGGTGCCGGGGCAATTTTGGTCCACTTGATAGCAATATTTAGGCATTTCACAATCAAATTTTGTTTGCACTTTGAAAATATATATAGGTTCTTAAGTAATGAACTCCAATTACAATATACATATTTCAATTTCAAGACTTAAGGTTGAATTATCAAGAACTTGTAACTTGGAAATAGCATTACACACTTTATTTAAAAACAACCAAGCCTTTAACATTTAATTAAAAATATAATTTCTAAACATTAATCTTATACGAGTAAAACACTTAAAACTTTCGTTCTTACTTAACCTTGCTTAAAAGAATCTCCCCAATTTTAAAGCAAGTAAATTAGGACTAAGTTCTTTAAAAAACGACAGTTAAAAAGGGACACTTCTTCAATTTTGTAATAATGATACATATGTATTGAAAATTTGAGTTTTTAGCCAAAATTATCCCATTGGGAGCAGGTCTATGTTTATTTTTTAAATATAATCTTGAGCATCTTTAGTCTCTTATGTTTGTTAAGGTGGAGTAGTTTTGTCTTGCTAACGGAACATAGTTAACATCTAATGATGACTAAACATGCTACTCACATTTACTTTAGAAACAAAACCTAGTAGTCAGTGGCGGACCCAAGATTCTGTACAAGCGGATTCAATAAATGATAATGGTAGCTAATAATATCAGCGTTCGATTGATGACAAGCATGAGTCGATAACTTAGTTTTCTTTTTGTTCTTAACACAATCTCAAAATAAATTCATTTTAAAGTTGGCACACTAAAATTTTAACAAAGTCGAAAATATTTTGAAAAAAGGTACAACAAATTTATCTACTTTTTATTTAATTTAACAAAAGTTTATTAACCCTAAGATATTTAAATATTTTCTTATTACTAAGAAGTTGTTACTTGCAAAAAAAAAAAAAGAGAATTAAAAAAATTTCTAAATGCTAAGCCAATTCCAGTGAAAAAAGAGCTATACACCAAAGCAGAAAATTAGTATAAAATAATTAAGCCTTTATAATTAAATTAAACTAACAGATTAGAAATACTTTCGATAAATATACTTGCATGTTATATCAAAATTTAAGGAAGAAAGAACCAAAATTTACTTTGTGGATAGGTTTAGTTTTTTTTTTTTTAGTTGATTAAATTATGGAATAGTTTTTATTGTATTCAAGCAAACACGATATCGCCTACACGCTGTTCCAAATGCAGACAAAATATAAAAACTAGAAACATCATGCACTGTATTGGACTCGAACCCGGTTACCAAATGCAAACTTGAACCATCTCAACAAAGATCTAACTTCGTTTAAGTGGGTTCAAATATTATTTTTATACGCATATTCTCCGTTTTAAATATAATTTACCTATCTACACAGTATAATTTTTTTAGGAAGCAGGTTAAACTGAACCCTTTGACACCATGTGGGTCCGCCCCTGCTAGCAGTAAAACCTTTAGTGAAACATCCAAAAGAAAGGTTTACGTCAAACCACAACAAAACAATGTTTCATTAACCCGATTTTAAACAATTAAAAAATTTCATCGAGCCAAGTTGCTTGTAACAAGTCAAAGCTACAATCAAAGTTTTTATAATAAGAAACTAAATCTAAATCATATTTTTTCTAGTTTTGAAGTTATTCAATTTGATCCTGATTCTGCAACTTCTCTATTTCTGCTTTCATGTTTGAAATTTGAGGGATGCATAGTGAAAACTCTTTTTCATCTCTAAAATTTGTAAGATTTCACCTGCAATTATGAATGAATTGAACACTCGTCAAAAGATAGGAAGTAACAAGGAACATGTCTTGAACGTAAAAGACATAACTATTAGTGATAAATAGATGACTAGAAGAACTCAATAGTTTACACAAGGATAGACTTTTGTTCAATATATATAAATGGTCAAGCAGTAAACTAGTAAATTAATTTAGAATCAATTATAAAATGCTTGTTTTATGGGAGCACTAGCTTCGCAAAAATTCCATCTTGATTCTACGTTTTCCTTTTTCAATGACTGTGTGTTACGTGCTAAATGAAGAACACAGTCAATGCAATCCTAAAGGGTTGGGATGATGAACAACCCTTGAACAGACTTGCACAATTGAACTGGAAAACAAGAATTAAAGAAGAAGAAGATTGTGATTTTATTGATAGAAGACTCAATCTTTTCAGAATCCATACAATTGATCCCCTCCCTTGTATTTAACTACCCCTTCTCTACGTTTACTAACTGAATTTGCAGCTGACTTCTAACCACCTTAGCTAATATAACCGACTACTAACTACTTGTAAAGTAAAAAGACTATTATGCCCTTAGGCTCCTACCCTTCTAGTTATAGTTCATAACTGTGAAATTTTTAAGAAAAATTAATTACTCAATGGCAAAATTTTAAGGATGTGAAGCAGATTGCACACACACATAATCTCACCCAAATAATGCAGCAAGAAACCCAGAGAAAACACGTTGCACACAACTTTTGAATAATATATACTCACTCCATAGTAGATACAAGTTCAATATCTTCTTCCTGGTTTTCTATCCGTCAAGATGCCTTCAATAGCAGTATAGTAGCGTCAAACTTCCTCTTTCGTCTCATCATCCTCCGTACGCATATTATTCAATCAAATCGAATCTGTCATAGTCTTCCTTCGATCCATTCGACGAAACAAAACTTTCAATTTAGTTTCCTTCTTTACCATGGAAGCTTAGCTTTTTTTTTTTTTTTTTTTTTTTTT